TCTTCTTGGGCCTCACTGCGTTCCAGCAGTGCCCCTGGCAGATGTTTCCTACTCCTGTGACCAACCACCTCCCCTGTCCAGGAACAGTTCATGGAATTAAATCTCTAGATTTATTGTGTTTTCCATTTGTCCTGTTTTTGTTCCCATGTCCTCTCTCCTGCCTCCTGTTGGATTATTTGAATATTTTGAGTCCTTTTAAATGTATCTTTTGGCATTTCAGCATTTCTTTAGTATTGCTCTTGAGTTTACAAACACATCCTTACCTCCTCGCTGTCTAGAGTTAGTATTCACTTCCCTTAAATGTGGAAACTACCACTGCTCAGTCACTGACTCTTCCAAACCTCCCATCACTTCACGGGATGGGACACATTACAAATGCCACAAGACAGTATAATAACGTTTGCTTTGAAGTTGGACGTATTTCAAAGAAATGAAGAGAAAAAAGTCCCCATTTATTTACCACTTCCAATGTATCCTTCAGTTCCAAGTTCATTTGAGGATAATTTCCCTTAGTGCCATTAGCATTTCTTACAGTGTATTTCTGCTGGCAACAAATTCTTTTTTTTAGTCTGAAAATACCTATCTTCACTGATTATAGAATTCTGGGGTTGACAGCTTGCTTTCAGCATTCTTAAGATGTTACTTCATTGTCTTCTGGCCTGAATCATTTCTGCTGAGAAATCCACCATCTCTGGAATCACAGCTCTCCTTTGTAATGTGTTGTTTTTGTCAGACACTTTCAAGACGTTTTTCTTCATTTTTGGTTTTCATATTGACTCTATGTCTAGGCACAGTTTTCTTCAAATGTATATTCATAAGTTGGGGGCCATTATTTACTCAAATATTTCTCCTTCCTCATTCTCTCCTCTGCTTCTAGGGCTCCAATTACGCAGCTGTCAGACTTCTTGAGTGTCCTACAAGTTCCTGAAGCTCTTATTTCAAAAATCTTACCCCTTTTTTAGAGTGGTTACTTTCTATTTGTGTATTTCCAGTTCACAAAATCTTGTCTCCATCATCTCCATTCTGCTCTTAGGTCTATCTGTGGATTTTAAGAACCGCAGGTATTGTACTTCTCGGTCTTAGAACGTCCATGTGGTTCTTCCGTTTTCTGTTTCTCTGATGAGGCTTTATATTTTTCGTCATTACACATAATTTTCCTTTAGCCCAGCAAGCATAGTTGTAGTAACTGCTTTAAATTGTCTGCTAATTCCAACACTTGGCTTCCCTCGGTCATCTTGTCTTTTCCCTTGAATGTGGGTCACATTTCCCTGATTCTATGAATATTAGCTAATTTTGGATTGTATCCTAGATGTTATGTTGTAGACATTTTGGATTCTGTTATATTCCTTCGAAGGCTGTGAATGTTTTGTTTTATGAGGTATTTGTATTTATTACTCAAACTGCTGCAGTGGGTGATAGCTCAAATCCACGTCATTTCAGTCCTGCTCAGAGTCGGCTCTGTGCATTCACGGTCCAATGGTCAGCAAGAGACTTGGGCTGAATTTATATGCATACCTGGGGGTTTCTCTTCCATGTTCTCCTTTCCAGTAGTTGTGGTTACTCTGGACTCTGCCCTCTGGGTCTTCAGGCCAGAAGACAGCTGGTTTTCCACCTGAGTTTTATTTTTAGTTGCCTAGTGCAGTACCTGCCCTTAGGCTAAGCTGTGGGAGAAACAAATGCTCGTGCTTGCACGCACGCACGCACGCACGCACCCCGGAAACACTCCCTGCGGTGGGCTTTCTACAACTCTCAACTCCCTTCCAGAATACACCTGCTTTTTGATCACTCTCCAGTCTTCCAGTAGTTTTGTTTTGTTTGGTGAGGTGTTTTTTTTGTTTTCTTTAATAGTGAGTCTTATTATTGGTAGGGTTTGTCTGTTAGAAACTTACTCCATCACACCAGCAAGAGAATTTCTGCACATTTTTAGTAGACCCAAACCTATCATTTGTGGGACTGAAAGGAGGGAATCCTATCACATTATCCCGGTTAGATGGAAGGAGGCAGACCCAGGCACACTCAGGGCCAGAGAAGGCCATATTTTGTTAGCAAAGCCCAAAGAAAAAAAAGATCGGCTGTTCCAGAGGCAAAGGAAATTAGACCTAAAGTCATCTATGGACTTCTCTTTTGGACCCAAGGTGTCTAGCGGTCCTGCAACTCGGCAGAGCTGAGGCTGAGGAGCTGGCAAGGAGGCTCTTCGCTAAACCAGTGCCACCCACCAACTGCAACCTCCAGCAGGCTAACCCCAGAACCTGCACCTGCAGTCCTCACCCGCCTTCAAATAATCCCATCCTGCAATGGCTGCTTCCAGAAAGGGAAGATTTTCTTTTCATTGCTTATATAGTTTTTCCCCTGCCTAAGAAGAAAAAAAAATTTTTTTGCTGCCTGTCTCTGTAAACCTTTCAATTCTGTACTGTTTATGTGTTATCTATTCAGACAACACATTAAATGTTAAAATGCTAACACCCTAGCATTTGGGAGGAATCAACATCTCAAATGCATTTGCATACTCTAACCCTGGCACCTGACTGGGGGGGGGGGTGTCTTTCCCAAGTGTGTACAGAGGAAACCAGCTCAATGTCACTCAACAGCAGGCTGATTAAATAGCTTATGGCTCCTCTACGGTTGTGGAATTTGAAGCACAATGCACTAAGATCTCCACTACATAGTGAGAAAAAGCACATTTCTATGCGATGTATTCTATGAATGTGCATTAACAGTGGCAAAAGATGAGCAAACTCTCAGTGTATTAATTCTCACAGATCAGAGAAATGTACTACTGTTACTCCATTTTACAGATGGGGCAACTAAGGTACAAAAAGTCACTTCCTAAGGTCACACAGGTTAAGTGTAAGGGTCTGAGTTTGAACCAGAGAGTCTGGAAGGATTCACTCAGTAGCTGGCCAGGAGTGACCTCTGGTAAGCAGGTAGGAAAGTGGATACAGCATATCCAAAAAGCATCTCAGGTTTCTCTCCAAAATCCCACTCACCTGTGAAGTCAGCTGCTCCTGCCGTGTGGCCAACGTGGTGCTGACAGACTGTGTATGTAGTGGGAGGAATCTTTTCACTCTTAAACATGTGTTTTATGCCCATGTTCTACTACAAGCTTAAACACAAAACCCACCTGTGCTTCTGGACCCAGCTGCAGACCCTCCCTCGGCACCGGGGCCTGCCTGATGGTCTTCAGTGCTGCTGACGAGGTCTCCGGGCCTCATGAGCGCAAAGCCTGAGTTTCCTTATCCTCACGGAGATAACAAGGTGCCCCTCAATCTATGTCCATTGATGTCGTGCATAGAAGCCTTGCCCATCGTCCCACTGCATCCTTCGCTGGTTTCCTCGTCTGCAGTATGGGCGTGACCTCAGTTCCGACCCCCATGGTAGTGCTGTGAAGATGCAATTTAGCTGAAGTCTAAGTATTTGGAAAGGTACCAGGCCGGTGGTTGTGAGCATCTTGCTGCCATTATTATTAACCTCTTTTGACTTGCCAACTACCATCTAAACCCCGATCTCCCACCTGTAAAAGGGCAAATAGAGTATCCCTAATACATCACCCCCATTTATATTAATTGGTCAGCAGAGGGGATCCATGGAATGGGGGGCTGTGATGGGACTGAGGCTGTCATTTTTTACTTTTTTTTTTCTTGAGTAGAACCTATTCCACTAGACTGTCGTCTTAAGTCCTCAGCACATCAGGCCCTTGAGAGTCTCGCTCCTACTCATGCCAGAGACCATGTAAGGGGAGTATGGAGGGGAGATGGCTGGCAGCCCCAGGACAGCCCACGCCTTTCCTTCGGTACCTCCAGCACCCAGTGTCGCCTTCACAGATGACTTCCTCCTCCCAAGTGGGCTACACACCTCCTGGAGGTACTAGAAGCCCCAGGACAAGTACTGTGTGCTTCCTGGAGACTCAGGAAATCCACCCTTATGGTAATACCCACATGTAATAGGGGGGTATATGGACTTTGTGGAAATGAGAATAAAGACATTTCCTCCCTGAGGCTGGCAGCTCCCTGCACTACCTCCGACCCCCAAGGGGTCGTCTCTGGATGACTCAGTCTCCGCCATTACAGACATACAGCGGTGGGAAGTTCAAAAATCCTCACACAAGAGTCTACCATGCCGATTTTGTTTTTAATCCATCCAGACCCGCCTGCTCCCCCTTGTGACGAAGGCCTCGCATTGCAAAGTAAAGGGTATAAGATCAAAATTTCGAAGACCATGTGAGAAGTATGCACAGAGAAAACCTTGGTGCCCCCGACGTGACAACATTGGGGCCCAGAAGGGGGTCCCACCGGAACCGCAGCCCTGGCCTCACCTAGGGTGGGAGCAGAGGTGACCGGGCGGCTCGGGCACTGAGCTCCTCCTTCCAGTGCAGCCAGTGCATTCTGACTGACTGCAGCACGACTGCGAACAGGAGCGGACCGATTCACTCAGACTGGCCAGGCCCTCACCTCCCACAATGTACATCAGGAACAAACTGAGGGCGAGAACTGGAGCATCCCTGGGCTGCTGAGTCGAGACAAACCTGGTATCCCAGTGAAAGATCTGACCGTACAACTATGGCACTTCAGTGTCACTTAACTTAAAAATGAGCATGTTAGCTACTATTATTAAAAGTCTTTGACTTGCCAAATACAGTCTAAGCCCCCATCTCCCACTGTCACTCTGCACAATGCCTGGCACATGCAGGATCTAAACAGAGGGCAGCATCGGTATCCTGTTTAACTCCTTTTCCTTTATTATCATAATTCTTGTCACTGAGAACAGCCACTATTTAAAGTGAGTTATCAACAGACAATTGGAACCAGAAGCTTCTACACTCTAAAATTTGAGCAATCTAACTCTGGCGGCATTACTCAGAAAAATGGTGGCAGGGATGGTGACTTGGGTGGGGGGGAAATCTGAGTCTTACTTATTAAAACATCTGATATTTCTTCAGATTAAAAAAGGCATGGTAGGATCACTCCCTGGCAGAGGAAGGAGGTTCTCATGTGCAAGAAAAACAAGCTCTAAAGCAAATAACTTTATTTCATTCAATGCTTCTTAGAGAACCAAGGAAGTACAGAAAATATAAAAAAAACCCAGACAGCTGTGATTCCAGGGGTAAGTGAGGGACCCCTGAGCCCAAAGTGCCGCAGCCCCAGGGCTGTTCTGCTGCAGCGGTGACGGAGCTGCGAAGAAGGCGGGCCCTCCATCCTCACTCGGCCCATACATCACAATCGCCAGGGGTGGGACCCTGGAATCTGCCTTTTTACAAATTTTCCCATTAATATTCAATGCGCAAGGTCTTGCCCTAATACCCAAGAGGACTTGGTAACATTTCCCCTCATCCAAAATCCAGGCTGGACCCAACTAATCCTAAACTAAAACTCACGCACCACATACCAGGTGGTACCTGTTGTTTTTCAGACCGCAAACTCTGGAGGAAATACATTCCGCCTGCCATGTTTTTTGCCTCTAAGACCACCTGTCGGCACTTGGAACCAGGTTCCACTAGTGTGGCATCGTGCTTGGGCCTCATTCCCCAACTGAAGTCACGCTCCTCTGTATGATAACAGGTGGGGAGTAGGTCCAAAAAAATGGCAAGAGGCTAAGCAACAAGGTGCACTGGCTCCCAGCAGGCATCTCGCGCAGGGCCCCAGAGGGCTGGGGCGTGGTGACGGCGCCAGGACAGAGAAAGGCAGTGGAGGGGGCTTTCGGGTGATTGCCACTTAGGGGAGCTGGCAGGGCTTGGGTTGCACACAGTCCTGAACAGAGCTGGGATGGAGAAGGGAGGCCCTGTGTCCCTTGTTTAGCAGCTGCTGGTGCTCGGAAGAGGCACGTCCCCACAACCTCACAGGAGATGGTTTGTCTGGGTCCAGCGCCTTCATTCTTCCCTTGCCTGAAGATGCCTCTGTAGGGGGACAGGGACAGGGGAACACACGTAGGCATGCTGCAGGTCAGCGTCTCCGGGGCTGCAAGTCCTGGGTTCACTTGGGGCCAAGGCACTCCACGACCCCACTCCCCTTCACACCATCAAAAAAGAAGAAGTTGTTGTGAGGAGGGTCCCTTTGAGACAAAGCCTGTAGAGAAAATGAGAGATTTCAGCTCAAGTGCTTTGGAAGGGATAAAATGGACAAAAACCCGTTAATAATCAGATTGAAAAGCTGTTTGGGCAGTGATGTGACCTCAATGGAGGTGGATTTTCCTCCCCAGGGGCTATCTGGCCATGTTTGGAGACACTGATTGTGACTGTAGTGTCTTCTCGCTCTGTCCCTCACCACCTGTGTGTCTTTGGACAGACCATTTAGCCTCTCTGAACCTTACTTTCCCCACTTAAATGAAAATAACAAATGTATTATCTTAGGCATTAAAAGAGATGATGTACCTCAAATATCAAAACCAATGTCTAATATGGAGAAGTGCTGCTTGGCACAGGGCACTAGGGATTCGCTGTGACTATTCAGCTGAGAAAGGCGGCGATTCACTTCCACCCATTGTAGGCTGCAGCCTTGGTCACGGACGCATACTGATGCAGACGTGGCTCCTCCCTGAGACTAGGCTGCTGCCTCTACAGGGCGGGCCAGGCTGCAGTCAGAGGGCCTGGGAGATGAGATGCTATCCAGCCATGGAAACAGTGATTATCTCGTGGGGTTGACAGGACAAAGCACTTTCAAGGGCCAGCCTTCCTGTGTGCACATATGGTTCTCAAAAAAGGGTGGCAGTTGAGTTTTCTGAGAGGTTCTTACCCCAAAAGGGGTTCGGTTATTATTTACAGAAGAGGACATTACCTAAACAAACTGTGAGGCAGGGTTTAAAGGTTCCTGGGAACACCATGCTTGTCATTCATCAGGTAGGACCCTCCTTCAGAAAAGGTTAGGAACATGCTCTAACCATCCTGTAATTTCTCTTTGAATTGAGCACCCATCCCAATCTGTTTCCTCATTTGTAAGGTGGGGACAATTATACCTATTTCAAGTGGTTATTCAGTCACTTGTCCAAGGAAAATGTACTGAGCATCTACTCTGTGCTTGTGTGTGGAATGGCAAATAATAGCAACACCTGCAACTGTTTTTGATGAGAATGAAATGTAAGCATATTGTAACACGCTTGGCACACAGTAAATTCTCAGACAGTGGGAGCTGCTATTACTATTAACAGCCAGGGGTCAAAGCTCTACCAGTGTCTAAGGGTCCCAAACTCTGAGCCAGGTGGAAAGGCCCAGAGCTGGAACTCTTAGAACCCATGGTATGGAAGACGACACACACGGAGTGTTTTCGTGGAGCCCGGTGTGGCTGCTGCTATCACCACCCCCTCGAGCACTGGAGGCAGGGATACCTACTTGTGGGGACGGTGGGGAGAAAAAGGGAGGGCGATGTAAACCGTTGGAAGCACATGACAGGGGACATGGATAGGACATGTAGTATCTGCAAGGACAGAAGGAAGGAAGGAAACAGATGATTCCAAGGAACAGACTTTTTTACATTTGCCCCCCCTGTATCTTAATGCTTATTTTTTATGAGTGGTCAGATGGTCCCTCAGGAGAGAAGGGGGAGGCCTGCCGTCCTCAGACAGTGGCACCTCGCTGCCTGATGGCTGCGGGCTGCAACTGTGTTAAGTAAAGGGAGCGGTGGGGAGTAAGGATGGCATGGGGTGAACATGGGCAAAAGGTAAAGCGTTTCCCAAGCCGAGATCAGGGTAGGAGGAGATTCCAAACACACCCAGCAACCAAGAATGCAGAGTACTCTGGCTATCCGGGAGAAACAGAAACAAGATGCTGGGCAGCAGCTGTCCCCAGCAGGCAGGAACGAGGGGGCTGCACCAGAGGTTAGGACTAGGATGCAGGGAAGCCACTGCGAACAGTGGGGTCAAGGCACCCGCCCTGACCCCCAGTCTTCATCCCACAAAAACCCGGGGGCAGCTGTGCAGTGGATGCAGAGAGTGAGGCCGTAGGTGCAATGACAGAGGGCCTAGGTCCGTGCAGACAAGCGCTACTAAGTGGACAGAGGGCCACTTAGGGGCAGCACCTGAGCACAATGACCGATGGTAAGGGCTCAGAAACCAGAGTTTCTGATGAAGGGCTTAGACCCTGGCTCCGCCACTTCTCTGCATCCCAGCCCCTCCGCACACAGCAGGGATCACAACAATTCCTACTTCACGGACTGTTTTGAGGACAAAATGAGTTAATTTGTGTAAGAACATGATCTCGCATGGTCTGTGGTGGGCTTCTAATGAATGCTATCTGTGGTTGCTGTTGTCATTATAGGATACAAAAATGTATTTTTGTTCTCATTCCCCTTATTTCTCTGTCATGACACACTCTCCTGCTGACTCTGCCTACAGGCAGCCTCAGAATCCTTCTCAACACAGTCCTCTGGGTAGCCACTACCAACTTCTCAGCCTGGGCACAGAAGCTGAAACTGTATCAGCTGGGCTAAGCAGACAGCGTGAGCGAGCCGCAGGCACGACCACCGAGCGCTCCTCCTCTCCTTCCTCTTCCGGGGGCTCACCCAGGTCTACTGCCTATGACACAGAAGGCAGGATTTAGGGAAAACATCTGATCCAGAGAGAAGGATTGGGGCAGAAGAGAAAAAGGAGCCTTAAGAAGATGGTGGGACTGTGAAACGGAGTCAAATGTCTCCAGAGTAAATTTAACAGACTCTCAGACAAAGCTCCCCAAATGGGTCTGCTAACTTGAACTTGACATATAAATGGATGTGCAAAATAGGCACAACTGCTCCACGAAGGAAAGGACAAACCACCAGTGCAAGTCCACGGAAGCAGCCAAGAGCCTACAAAAGGCAATCGAACATCTCTGTCCCCAAGGCAAGTAAAACACATCTGTGGGTTCGCTATGGCTTTGGCAATCCAGGTGCTCTGGAAGAGACTCAAAGGCTGTGCTAGTTACAGCTGACATGACGCAGATGAAATACTTCCCTTCTGAGAGGGACAATGATACCTAAGGTGGCCACAGGTCACCGAGAGCCTCTGGGGCTTCCTGGAATGATGTGTGCACTCCAGTGATATTGATGTCCCCCTCCTCTATTCACATTCATGGTGTGTGCATCAACAGGGGGGAGATTTCACACCAGTCACAGATGGAGAGAGAAACCATATGAAGTGGAAGTGAAGAACACAGGCTTTGGAGTCCCTTCTTTGGGTCTCAGTGTCCTCGCCCTTAAGTGGGGATTGTGACCGTACCCATTCCACGGAGCCCTGAGAACACGCAGCAGGTATCCTAAGGCCCAGATAACTAAGGTGTAGTTAGGGGAGGCACCAGTCCAGCTCTGGGCCTAGCACAGGGTAGGCACTCAAAGGTCATTTGCTGAATGCCCACCTGGATGGGTTAGGAAGAATGGGATGGTGTAGAAAGGAAAACGGTGGGTATGGAACAAGGATGGGTGGGGTTACAGAAACCAGGCAGCTAAGACAGTCCCGGGTTCTCTCAGCTACCACATCTACAAGGTCATGGTGTGGTGGGTCAAGGACTTTCTGTTCCACACTGACATTTACCTTCACAATTTCCTGGGCCAGGATCCCTCCAACCACTGCACACACTGGGGCCATCTCGGAGAAGCAGTACCTAAAGAAGAAAACAAGTGAAATGGAGCACTGAAGAATAGGCAGGCTGGTAGGCCATCTGGGAAAGACCTCGAGTGGTGGGCTCACCTGGATCAAAACATCTACCAGGAGGAGTCGATTCGGACAGTAATGCTAACGCTGGCATGGAGGTGTGAAAATGAAAACTTGTCCAGGAGGTTAGCAGGTGGCTGGGAAAGGCCTTCGGCAGGGCAGGAATTGTTTCACAACTTTTTTTTTAAGTTGAAGACTGTATCTGTGCTTCCTAAAAATAACGTCCTACAAATACCAGATGTTTCGGTGCCCCGGTCACATTCTCGCAATTCTCTCCTTACCCCTAATGGGCAGTGGGTTCTATGTACTACTCCCAGACAAATGTCAGGGAGGAGGCCTGTGTTGACACGTAGGAGGCATGGGAAATTTGGGGCCTCAAATTAAAACAATGGAGAAGAAAAAGCCTTCGCTATCCACATAGATACCAATCCTTCTGGGCCAGGATGGGACATACAGAGGGCAAATTTTAGCTAATACCAGCAGGTGCCCCTCCAAATCACCCATCCTGGGCAAAATATTTTCTTTTACCACCTCCCCACAGGAAGTGTACTCTGCCAGTTCCAACCCTGAACACAAAGGTGCTGTTTAACTGGGCAAATTGAACACAGACAAGGTGAAAGGAGAGCTCCTTCAGGGAACCCTACCCACCAGGAGACTACCTCCAATCCTCCCAGTTTGGTGCACATTCTTCTAGACCTTTTTAAAAGTGCATACATCTAAACATATATAATTTAACTCCCAATTAGTATCAACTATGATTCATTCTGCTCTGTAACCTAGTGATAGATATTTAAGCTGGTCAATGTTGCAATTATACATCTTCGCAAAGGGTCCAAACAATTCTTTATGTCAAATTCCTAAATACAGAATTGCTGGATCCTAATATATGAAAGGCTATATCCATTTCAACTGCCAACTGCGTTTGAGGGTGCTCATCTCCTCACACCCTGGCCAGAACCAGCATCTGTTCAATCACACAGGTCATTTTTCTTCCTGTTTATCAAGGTCCACTGTAGAACTATAAAACATGTGGAGAAAAATTAGTCATCTAGAATTCCACTACTGAAAGATAATTTAATGTAGGAATATTTTCCTTTTAAAAGAAAAACACCTATATTCTGTGATCACATTATATAATTTAATAGTCTGCTTTTTATTCTAAAAACTGTATTATCTCAACAAAATGCTAGCAAACCAAACACTAAAGCAATATATAGAAAGGATTATACATCACAACTAGAAGGGATTTATGCCAAGAATTCAAGGTTGGTTTAACATCTGAAAATCAATGTAGTATATGCCATATTAATTGGATAATGTATAATAAACACAGGATCATCTCAATAGACACAGAAAAAGCATCTGAAAAAATCCAACACCTTTTCATGATAAAAACACTCAACAGACTGGGAACAGAAAGAAACTTCAACCTGATAAAGGGCATCTATGAAAAATCCAGAGTTCGCTCTCATCCTCCATGATGAAAGGTTGAAAGTTTTTCCCCTAAGAGGAAGAACAAGATAAGGATGTTGGCTTTTACCACTTCTTTTCAATATCTGTACTAAAGGTTCTAGCCAGGGCAATTAAGGAAGGAAAAAGAAATGAGACATTCAGATTGGAAAGGAGGAAGTAATACCCATTCACAGATGACATGACCTAATGTATACAGAAAATATTCAGGAATCCAAAGAAAAATTATATGAACTATTAAGCTAACTGAGCAAGGATACAGAATACAAGATTTATAAAAATCAGTTTTTCTATATATTAGCAATGAACATTCTGAAAATGAAATAAAAAATTCCATTTACAAAAGCATCCACTAAGAAAATTTTTCAGAATAAATCTAAGATGTGTGAAAATTAATATTAAAAATAAATAAAAATAAAAGTTTAAAAATTAAAAATAAATAAAATTTAAAATAAATAAATAAATAAAACATTTAAGATGTGTGAACTTCTGTCCTCTGAAGACTACAAACCATTGTTGAAACAAATATAAGACCTAAATAAATGGAAAGATACCCCATGTTCATGAATCAGAAGACTTAATATTGTTATGTTAATATTGTTAAGATGGCAATACTCCCCAAATTAATCTGAAATACATTTGACGAAACCCCTATCAAAATTCCATGTCATTTTTGTAGAAATGGATAAACCTATCTTAAAATTCACATGGGAATACAAGAGACCTAGAATAGCCAAAATAATTTTGAAAAGAACAAAAGTTGGAGAACTCAGATGTCTCAATTTTATAACTTACTACTACCAAGCTAAAGTAATCAAGACAGTGTGGTACTGGCATACAGACACAAAAATCAATGAAATAGAACTCAAGAGTCCAGAAATGAAGAAACACATATATAGTCAGTTAATTTTTAACAAAGGTGCCAAACCTATTGCAACAGGGAAAGCAAAAGTGTTTTTAACAAATGGTACTGGGACAACTGGGTATCCTCACATTGAAAACAATTAAGTTGGACCCCTACCTCACACCATGTACAAAAGTTAACTGAAAAATGCCTCACAGACCTACATATTATAATAGCTAAACCTTTAAACTCTTAGAAGAAAACATAGAGGCGTAAATCTTCATGACCCTGGATTAAATAACGGTTCCTTAAACGTGATGCCAAAAGCACATGTGCCAAGAGAAAAATAAGATACATTTTATTTCATAAAAATTAAAAACTTTACTTCAAAGGATACTATCAAGAAAGTAAAGACAACCCACAGAATGAAGAAAATTTCTGCAAATCACATATAAAGGACTTGTATCCAGAATACATAAAGAAACTCCTATAATTTCACAACAAAAAGATAACTCAACTAAAAAATGGGCAAATGATCTGAATAGACATTTCTCTAAAGAACATACATAAATGGCCAGGAAGCACGTGAAAGGATGCATTACGTCCGTCATTAGTCTTCAAGGAAATGCAATTCAAAACCATAACAAGTTAGAACTCATTACCCGCTAAGTCTAAAACAGACAATAACACTTGTTGGGCCAGGATGTGGAGAAACTGGAACCCATGTGAAACACTGGTGGGACTGTTAAGTGGTGTGGCCGCTGTGGCAGACAGTTTGGCAGTTCTTCAAAATGTTAAACAGAGTTACCATATGAGCCATCAGTTCCAGTCTTACATATACACATCCAAGAGGAAGGAAAACTTATGTTCACACAAAAACATGTGAATGTTTATAGTGGTTTTAGTCATAATTGCCAAACACTGGGAACAACCCACATGTCCTTCATCTGGTGAACAAGCTGTGGGATCTCCATACAATGGATTACTTACTATTCAGTTATAAGAATAAAAGAGCTATCGATTCATTCAACATGGATGCATCTTACATGCATTAAAAGCAGTGAACAAAGCCAGATTCAAAAGACTATGCATGCTGTATGATTCCAATTATATTACTTGGTTAGAAAAGGGAAAGCTAGAGGGATAAAGAACATCAGTGGCTGCAGACGGAGAAGGGGCTGATGACAAGGCAGCACGAGGGAATTTTCTGGATAACAAAACTTTTCTGTATCTTGACTGAGGTGGTAGTTACACAATTCTACGCCTTTGTAAAAATTCAAGGAACTTTAAAAAAACAAAACACACACAACTCATGGAACTGTGTAACAAGAAAGAATGAATTTTATACTGTATAAATTTAAAGAAAAATACATCAAGAGGAAACAAGAATGAATTTTACTGTATACAAATCTAAATATAAAAAATAAGCAAGATAAAACATGCATCACCTTAAGAGACAATCAAACAAGCTCAGAATATGGGATATTATTGTACAATAAAAATGGGCCTGGACACCTTGAAAAATAAGTGTTAAACTGTTCTAGATCAGGAGTTGGAAAACTTTCTCTGTGAAGAACCAGACAGAACTTTTTTTTGGCTTTATAGGCCATCATATGGTCTCTGTTTAAACTCTTCAAGTCTGCTGTTGCAGAGCAGTAAAAACTCTACAAAAGCTGTCACAGATAATACATAAGTGAGTAGGTGTGGAATAAAACTTTATTTACAAAAACAGGTGGCAAGCCATAGCTTGCCAATTCCTAGATTAAAAGAGACACCGAACCAAATGCAACAGATGAACTTGGATTCATTCCTAAGCACCACGTCATCATCATGTGCTGCCCAAACAGAATGTGAAATATCAACAACTCAATCTGGCTGAGTGGCACATAAGTGTTCACTACTGCACTATTCTTTCCATTTTCCATATGCTGGACATTTTTCAAAATAATCATTTTTAATCCACGCATAACCCTGCAGTGTCCTTTACCGTTAACATTTTTTATTAAAGCATTGTTAATATACAATCTTATGTTGGTTTCAAATGTACATCACAGTGGTTCCACAGTCCCCATGATCAACTTATACTGCGACTGTGAATTATTATGCCCTTTTATCCCCCTCCCCCTGGTATTCAACCCAACCCCTTCCATTTGGTGACCACCAGTCATTTCTCAGTGTCTATGAGTCTAATGCTGTTTTGTTCCTTCAGTTTTGCTTCGTTGTTATACTCCACAAATAGGTGAAATCAAATGGTATTTGTCTTTCTCTGCCTGGCTTACTTCACTCAGCATAATATCCTCTAGATCCATCCACGCTGTTGCTAATGGCAGGATTGTTCTTTTTATGGCTGAATAGTATTCCACTGTGCATATGCACCACCTCTTCTTTATTCACTCATCTATTGATGGAGACTTAGGTTTCTTCAGTAACTTGGCCATTGCAAATAGTGCGATGATAAACACAGGGGTGCATATATCCTCTTGAATCAGAAATTTTGTTTTTTTTGGGTAAATTCCTAGAAGTGGAATTACTGGGTCAAATGGCATTTCTATTTTGTTTTTTGAGGAACCTCCATACTGCTTTCCACAATGGTCACACCAATTTGCAGTCCCACCAACAGTGTAAGAGGAGGGTTCCTATTTCTTGGCACCCTCACCAGCATTTTGTTGTTTCTTGTCTTTTGGATGTTGGCCATCCTAACTGGTGTGAGGTGATACTCACTGTGGTTTTAATTTGCATTTCCCTGATCATTAGTGATGTGGAGCATCTTTTTATGTGCCTGTTGGCCATTTGTATTTCTTCTTTGGAGAAGTATCTGTTCAAGGTTCTCCACCCATTTTTTAATCGGGTTACTTGTTTTTTGGGTGTTGAGGTGTGTGAGTTATTTATATATTTTGGATGTTAACCCCTTATCAGATGAGTTGTTTATGAATATATTCTCCCATCCAAAAAAGATGCCTTTTTGTTCTGCTGATGGTGTCGTTTGCTGTAGAGAAGCTTTTTAATTTGATGTAGTCCCACTTGTTCACTTTTGATTTTGTTTCCCTTGCCCAAGGAGACGTGTCCAGGAAAACACTACTCATGCTTATATTTAAGTGATTTTTGTCTATGTTTTCTTCTAAGAGTTTTATGGTTTCATGACTTACATTCAGGTTTTTTATCCATTTCGAGTTTATTTTTGTGTATGGGGTTAGACAGTAATCCAGTTTCATTCTCTTATGTGTGGCTGTCCAGTTTTGTACCATTAACTCTTTAATGCCTTTCCCATTTCTCTTACAAATACGATAATGAGTATCTTTTGTACGTAAATGTTTGCTCATATTGTTTCTTCAGGGTACATTCTCATTACGGAGGAGCAGAATTACTGGGCCAATAAGGGAATATTTTAATGACTCCTGATACATAATTGCAAACTGCCTCCTAAACAGGTCACACCTTTTCTATCACTGTTAACAATGAATGAGTATTTTTTAAAAATCTACAAAGGATTTTGTTGATTTTAAATATGCTGTGATAAACATGTGCAAGATATATGACCAAATGGTTGGTGGTTTCTTCTGGGTAATGGAATCATGAGTGAGTGATTTTCATTTTTATCTTTGAGTTTATGCTGTACTATCTGATTTTTCTATAATGTATATTATTTCTGTAATTTAAAGACCTGTAACTTTACCACAGGACAAATATTGTAGGATTCCACTCATGTGAGATACCTAGAATAATCAAATTCTAGGGGCAGTAAGTAGAACAGCAGCTACCAGGGGCCAGGGGCCTGGCAGAATGGCACCTGGTGCTTCACAGGCACAGTTTCAGGTAGGGATGATGAGAAAGTTCTGATTATGGAAAGGAGTGATGGCTACACAACAGTATAACTGTCTGAATGCCACCGACTGTACATTTAAGAATGATTAAAATGGTATATTTTATAATTAAAAAAACTTTTTAAGCAGTAAATATATTACATATACAAATTATGAATGTTCATCATAAATATTTACAATAGTGAAAAACTATGAACAACTTACATGCCCACCAATGAGGTAATAGTCAACTAAATAACCATGCGTATCAGATAGTCTGAAACATTAGCAAGTATGAGTGAGGAAGTGGATCTGTATTTTGGCCACCAACAAGTCCATGAATGATGAAAAAAGAAGGGTGCCCTGCAAAAAGCAGCATCTCATTTAAAGAGAGAAAACCTGAGTAAACACACATGGAGAGGTCTGGGAGGCTTAGCCCCAGAATGTCAGCAGTGGCTGCTTCTCAGTGGTGGGGCTGCGGGTGATCCCTTTGTTCTGTTTTACACTTTCTGGCATGGGTATCAGTTACTTTCATAATCAGAAAAGCAATAAAGCTCTCCTTAAAAAGGGTAACGTCACATAAGGACAACACAAGCAGACCACAGACAGATGAAGGAAATGGAGACTCGGCGCAGCTCTCCCTCCTCCGGCGAGCGCGCCTGCTCTGCGCCGGCAGTGGGCAGTTTGTGAGGGAAGCCCAGCTGCCTCGGCAGCTCACTCCTTGCTGACAGCCCCACCTACCCACGGACAGACTTCAAGAAGCCACCCCACACCAGCTACTTAAAGGGCAACAAAGCCAGAGCACCGGAGCACCTGCGCACAAGCGACCGGGACACGGGAACACGGTTCCTACACGCAGGGCGGGCAGAGGAGGAAATCACTTTGGAGTGACGCCCAGCCAACAGCTAGTTAGGCTGTGGCTCTCCTTCTGGGAAGGTGATTCCTGCGATGCAGAGGCAGGCCGTTCATCACACTAAATGCCCAAATTAGTCACTCAGCTGCATACACACGGCCTGGCACCGGGTATGCTTGGCAGCTCAGCCTGCCTGGCTGCGTCTGCTGGACCTAGAGCCCTGTGTGGCTCAGCCCCTCATCTTGCTGAGAAGCACACAGCAGGCACCACCTGCTTCTCATACACGGTCCTTCCTCCACTAAGAGACGTCTGCTTGGCTTTTAGCACGAGACATGGACCCTGCCCCAGCCTGCAGTGTCACTAGCCCTGACCTTACAGCACCAGCTTATAAAAGCACCTAGGGGACTGCTGCCTCTTTCTGGCTGAGGGCTTGCCAGACGGTTCCAAGCACACTGCAGTCCTAAACTGGGTGCAGTCTGCTAGCAGCGATGTGAGTTCCCAGTCACAAGTGAGGAAAGCATGGACTAGGGAAGGAGAGTCTCTGCTTCACTTTATTGCTGAAAAGAACCAAGGAAATGTGTTGCTATGAGTGTGGTGAGACCTGGGTAAAATCCTGCTGCTTACTAAAAACTCTGGGAACTAACTGTACCTTTCCAGCCTCAGTTTCTTCATTTAACTAATGGGAAAATAGTTAACACACTTCAAAGGATTATTGTGACAATTAAATGTAGCTCTGCAGGTAGCGCACAGAAAGTCTTCAACACATTAATTACATAATCTCGGTCTAGTCACTCTAACTGTCTTTGGAGAAGAGGGTTAACTAACCTAACTAACCTAGCCTCTCTCCTCTCCTACAGAATGGGCTGCTATGGAGAGAGACCACGCACATAAAGCGGCTCCCACGATACCTGGGACACAGCAGCCACTCAGTAACCGACAGCCACCGTTGCTACTGCTACAAGCTGGAGGCACCACAAAGCTGTTTAGGGAATCCCCACAGGACCCTGGAAGAATGAGTGTGTGCAGATGATCCCAGAACCAGGATTCTTGACCTAGTCACCATTTGGACCTCTCCAAGCAAATCCTAAACCTGACTGTGTGTAAGCAAAACACTGGTTGCCTATGGTGAAAGGGTCCCAGTGCCCAAGGGTGAGGATGCTGGGAAGGAGAAGGCCTTTGTTGCCTAGGGTATAAACTGATAAGCCAGCAATGGAGGGCATGGGGCAATGTCTACCAAATGACAAATGACATCTTCTGACCCAGCCACTCCCCTCTAATAATTAACCTGCAGTCATACCTGCACATGCCAAATGACATACACAGCAGGCCGTGTGCTACAGCATTATACAATAGGAGCAGCCCAGGATCGACCGGGTCAGGAGGGAACTTGTTCAACAGGCCACTGCTCCCATGACAGAAACACTACAGAGCTGCACAAACGAGGGAGGAGACGATCTACTGATGTCCTGATCTGGAAACATACCTTAAAATTAATGTAAAGTGAAAAAAGGTACCAAATAGTGTATATAGACTTTATATTCCCTTGACTTTACAGCTAAGTGAATACAAGAGAACTATGATAAAAAGCAAAATCTGCACCTCTTTATTTTTCATACACTGGGGCCATAGCAACGGAGGGGCAGAGGTCTGTGAGAGCAGAGTCGGCAGCCTGCGGCCAAGGAGGCTCTCCTCAGGGCTTTGGTCCTAAAGGATCTCCCCAAATTAAGGCAAACAGTGAAAAGAAGATAGTTTATCAATCCAGGCTGACCTGTGAGAAACACTGAGACCAACCTGACAAAGTCTTCGGGAAGCAAGTCAGGGCTCACCCCCAGGGACTCAAGCACATCGTTCCGAATCTGGAGCAACAGCTCAGAATCTTCTCCAAAGGTATCGGAGCTAGGGTCTCTTCCTTTATCTGTGCGGAACTTCAGGAGCACTGGGAAAGGAAAAGAAGGTAGGTTAAAAGGCAAGTCTTTCATAATATATACTAACAGATGTTGGTAATTAAAAATTTTTCCCATTCCATAGGAAGTAGTACATCAGGGAAAACATGGTCCCAGTGAAATACACTTTTAATTTAGCCAACAAATATAGTCAGAAAGACAATCAAATAGTTATAAAAATGATTAAAATCATTGTGATGAGTGTCACAATGGTGTAACAGGGTGGTGTCAGGTAAGGCTTCCCTGCGGAAGCAATAGTTGAGTGACATTGTGAGTTTGTGCGGGGTAAGAAGAGGCTTGCAGCAGAGGCAAAGACCCTCTTAAGACCCAGAAGAGAGGTTAGGAGTGGGAGGCATGCATTCTAAGCATCAGTTCAAAGGGCTGCTTCAGCCAGAAAGGCCAGCCAAATGCTCACTCATCAGACAGGCAGGTCATTACAAACAAAACCTCCCTTAGTACAGTAATTATGTCAACCTTCAGAAACTGACGTTTAATTTTGGTTGTGCATGAGAGGAAATTCAGATGATGGTGACAAATCAGGGCTGCTGTTTAACGAGACCCGAACAAGGCTTGAATTCTTAGCCCAAGCAATACAAGGCAGGCAGGAACACGGTAAGATCGGTCAAAATACCAGCACCTTCTACTGCTACACCACCTTTTCCTTGAGGTCAGAATGCTGGGTGGTGGCACTCCAGCTCCCCAGAGGCTCCCCACAGCAGGTGCACAGCCAGCCCTGAGCCTTGTTTCCACAGCAATCCTCCCACATCACACAAGCTGTTTCAGAGCAGAGGTAGAGACATGCGGACCCCCAGGTGCTCCCGAACAGCACCTCATCCCTGGAGGGGGCTTTACAGTTTACGAAGTGCTTCCATTTACGTTTCATTAAGTACTTGCTGACTGAAAAGTGAGCTTACTCAGCAAATTACACTGTCAGAATAAGGGGTGGCTCTTCCCTAACATTTAAGGTGGATTCAAAACTCAGAACTGCTGGCAGGCTCTAAAAATCAAAGTATTTGGAACCCCCGACTAAGGAATCAAGAGTTTTTCTACATTTTTTCTTAGGTCTCACAAATAGCTTGGATGAGAGGTTGAGAACCACTCTCCAAGTATTAGTATGAACTCGGTCATTCACCCGCAAGACTGCGCACTTACTGTGTGCCCGGCAGACCCAGGTGCTAAAGGTACGCTGGTGAGGGAGCAGTCCTGGTCTCAGCACGTATGAAGGCGATGTGGGAGGCCAGGGAATGCAGAAGCCACAACAGATGGCTCCAACTGAAGCTGAGAGAAGTTCATAAATGGGATATAAAGTGTTCCAAGAAGATCCCAGGGATTTTACCTCGGAGGCCCAGGTAAAAGACACAACCTGCTTCCAGACTGCTTTTCTCAGTGTCAGGGTCAGAGGAACTAGCTTTCACATGCTCAGTACAGCACTCTGCACATCAGAGGTTTAAAAAAAAAAACAATGCTCCAGAACACTTATCTGAAATACCGTTTGCTGTCGGGGGTCATTCCTCTCCCCTCCTCTTTACGAGCACAGCTCCTGGGACCCTCAATTCTACCTGACCACTAGGCAGCAACTCAAAGCTGATGACAAGATTGGTGCTGGCTAACACTGATCTGCCATCACCGAAGTGACTTCTAACTGCAGATGTGTTGCCGGGATTCCAATTTGGAATAAATAAATGCAATCAAGTAAGCATTTGGGGGCAGGATGGAGAAAAGACTGGACAAGTGGTGGCTGCTCCCTGTTTAGACCGAGCTTCTTTTCCAACAGTCCCCATGAAGAAAGGAACCTGGACATCTGCTAGTCCAGCCAAAACAGAGGATACTGAGCAGACTGTATCGAGTATCTGCAGAATTCCTGCCTCTCACTCCTGAGAAGACAGGACAAAAGACCCAGAATGAGTATCAGTGTTGCCCGACCAGATGATGGAAGCAGTGACCAACACAGGTTGTAGCCTCCTGCGTGATCTAAGGCCTGGTGGCAACCATGTGATGACTGAGCGAGGCTGCCCGCTCTCCAGCTGTCAGGGTGGTGGCCAGCAGCAGGAGCCCATGCAGGCTGTGCCCTGTGTGATCCTTTCATTTCTGTGTCACTGTGACAGAAGTACCAACTGCCAGAATGGATGGAGAAGAGAGGATAATAATGTTTTCAGCCCTCACCACAAAGCTTATCTTCTGAATAGAAAGCATGGCTCTTGAAGCAAAGCTCAAACTGTTATAATTGGAAAACATACAGTGCCTACTCTGTACTAGGCGCCATTCTGAACATTTTGCATGCATTAACACTCAATCCATAATAACCCGGTGAGGTAGGTTAGGTAGGTCCTAATACCTAACTCTCCCTATATTACAGATTAAGAGACTGGAGTTCAGAGAGAGGGGCATGTTCAACGTAACAGCCAGTAAGTAGTGGAGCAGATATACCAACTCAGATCTGGCTTCAGAATCTGCTTAACCCTAATTGAATCCAGGAGAAATGGCAGAACAATCAGGAATACAGCCCCAAGGATTCCAAGTGGTCTGGCTCTTTGCTCCCCACCTCAAGAGGACTCCCATTTGACCACATTTCTGTGAGATGCATTTTCCAGATGGGCCCTGCCCTCTCTCAACTGGCCCATTATTTTTAAGTTACTAGATCAGTGGGTGAGAAGTAGAGGCGGAGGCCATATGAAACCTTGCCCATCAATCTTCACAGAGTAAGACAGTTTCATCTCAGAAAGAAATAAGACAGCACTAAGAAGAGGAGTGAAGGCAGCCAGCAGCTGGCCCCAATGTTTCTCTGGGCCCCCTGCCTGTTCCTGGGTGCAGGCTGCCTGGACATGGGCCGGCAGGCTGGCACCATCCAGATACCTCGCTGACCACATCTGAAGTCCTCTCAGGGTCTCTGGGAAGAGAGCCAGTCAATCCAGCCACTTTATTTGCAGTAAAGCAAACAGAAGCTGTATTTTTCACTCTTTTTTAAATGTCAGCACTCCAGTTAGCAGGGATAGAGGGTGGGGGGAAGAAGCCCGCGTTCTAGACAGGCAGCAACTTCGGAACTGACCCTAGCCCCTGACAAGTTCTTGCTTATTAAATTTTCCTCTCTGTCCTGCTCTCCACCCCTCCCAAACAGCCAGACACAGCACTGTTGACTCTGCATTTCTGAAGAGCACCTCCCCACCAGTTTCCAGATGACAAAATGGTTCCACTAAGATCAAATATTGTCAGGGATGGAGAGCTGCTCTGCCAAGAGATGACTCATTGAATCGTATCAAAACACTGCACAAAATTAGAGCTCCAAACTCAATTAACTTCATCCTGAACCTTTCAGTTAACTCAGGGTGCTGAAGTCCAGGGAAATGACATTCATCGCTTCAGAGGGCAGTGTCTCTGCTTAAGTTCAGGACTTGTTCATGCAATGGAAAGGCTAACTTTGAAAAAGAGAAACCAAGCACCTTTTTTTCACACATTAGAAGAAAAAGTGTGCATGTCTGAATATACTACTACTTTTGCAAAATGAAATTAACACTCAAATTCAAATTTAATCTGCATCAGAATATCAGGTTGGTGCTATAACAGGAATTTGGAAAGCAATAACATTAATCACTGTATTTCTAACAATTTCTCATTGCATTTAAATAGTGTGATTAAATGTAGCATACTAAAGCCACAGGAAAAAAAAAAACAGTATTTTTATAGGAAAAAAATGAAGTGCATGTTGTAAATTAGCCCCAGTCCAATTGCTATCCCTTAAACAGCTCAACTGAGGAAAAACAAAAAAAGCTGAATTTATATAAAAACCTCACTTGCGTGACTGACTTCATAAAGCTTTTCTGTGCCAGACACGTTCACGTTGTTCCAATGTCTCTTGTGTTCCCCAACCTACAGTAGACCTGCTCTCCTCAAGCTGGCTCACTCAAGGGGGATTCATTACCTCTGGAAATGGCCTGGAAATCAGCTCCACTCCCAGCTTACATAAACTTCCAAGAACACAAAAAGTTAGCCCCTTAGCCAACAGCCTGTCTTCTAAGGCAAAACACTAGATTTGACATTTAGTCAATTATTCACTCATTAAATATATACTGAGGATGGTAACTCGAATTATTGGGGTGCTCATCTGGCACAGTATACAAATATTGAATTATTAGGTTGTAACCTGAAACTAATATAATGGCATATGTCAATTATAGCTCAATAAAACAAAAACATAAATAAATGTGGAGCACCAACTTTGTGCAGGCCCTGAGTTGGGCAGGGAACAAAATGCATGCTCTGTCCTCTCCGAGCTTGAGAGTGACAAACAAAAACTACATATGGGGTAACAAAAGGTGGGACCCAGAAAAGGAGCTCGGAGACAGAGAATTCTGGGGGTGGCAGGGGTGGTCTTGAGCAGCCAGGCTCCCCACCATGGGGCAGAACCACCTCATCTTCACTGGTCCCCACCTGTGACCCTTGACCCAGTCAGGCTCCTTCCCTGGCCTGGGGGGTTCTGGAATTGGCAGGCAGCAGAGTGCAGCAGTGAGCACGGCTCTGGAGCCAGGCTGCCTGGGCTGGATCCCCTATCTTCCCACTTACTGTGATCTTAGCCAAGTGACAACATCCCTGAGCCTCCTCTGTAAAACGGGAATCCCAAGAGCACTCACTTACGGGGTTTAGGGACAAGCGAATAACACATGGAGAGCCCCAGGACGTGGGCAGGTGTGGGCCTCTTCTGCCATCTCCATAAACCTCGTGGAGAAGCTGACACACCTGCTCGTGCTGAAATCCCTCATCTAACTGTGTCAGGGCCGCTGTTCAGCTGTGAGCTCTGGAGGCGACTGTCTGATACTCTCTGCACCCTACTCTTTCCCTTCACAGCTCTTAACTGCAGTTTGTGATTTTAGTCATCTGTGTAAATTCACTTGCGTGATGACTGACTTGTCTCGTCCACTAGATTGTTGTGACTGTGTGCTTATGCCTAGCCAGGGCCTGCCCCACAGCAGGCACTGAGAAAACATCTGTTCCATGGGAA